AAAAAAAAAAAAAAAAAAAAAAAAAAAAAAAAAAAAAAAAAAAAAATTACAATGCGTGACAATAGTATTACATGTGTTCGAAATGATACAACGAAGTATTGTTGTGATTAATATGATGCCATGCATATATTTTGTAATAAAAAGTTCTAAAACATTTGTCTGTGAATTTATTTAACTTTGACACCAAACATTTAATATATTTTTAAATCCGGTAGTTGATTTAATTCTTTGTTATTTTTAACGTATCGATTATTGTATCGAAATAAATCGATCACATAGGTATCGAGGGATCAATGTAATCGATCCATGAATAAAGAGCACACACATACATACATATATATGTGTGGTAGGTATATGCATCTATATGTATACTCCAACAGCAAAGCAGCATCAATATGCTGTGCAACTCTCAAAAGCAAATATTCTTTACAATGGCGTCTTCTGCATGAGCTCTCTTTCACTGTTGCCGTGTATAGAGCTCTCTCTCGCATCTCTTGAAGTCGACGAAAATGCAAAAGAAGAGTTGGTCGTCGACGAATCGAGCCAACGCACACACAAGAGAATTGCAGAGTCCTTATCGTCAGATCAGCCCCTGGGCCAAGCAGAGAGTGAAAGCAAGCGATAGAGCTCACGATTGCGTATACATGGACTCTTCCCGCTGACCACCTCATCCACTTGGCTCGAGGAAGACGTCGAGGATCATGATGTAATATATAAATAAACACACACAAACTCTTGCACCCACCCGAGCTACAAGGACACATTATCTGGACAAGAGCAGAGCAAAGGCTATACTGCCAGCAAGGCTCTAGGTACGTAGACTTTCAGATGCAGCCCGTCCCCCTGGGTACATCCCCAAAAAGATTTACAATTTGCCTACGCATTTCGTTTCAATCGATATGTGGCGACGTCGAAATGAAGGCTCTTTACTTTGCAGAGGCTGACCTTGGTTTTTCTTCACGAGTAACACCCAGAGTATCAGGTTGGCGCCAAACGAGGGCAGCAAAATGTCGAAGAGACCGGCCGACAGCGCGGACTCGGGCTGCCAGCCACCTATCAAGAAGGTCCAGTTCGAGCCCATGATCATTGGACCCATATCCACCCTTGAAGAGATGGATATGAAGGTTCTGCAGTTTCAGAACAAGAAACTGGCTCAGGTATACGTTAATTTAATCGTCCTTGGGCTTGTTGTTTACTAATTGGGAAAACTGATTGGTAATGCCATAGTTTTCAATGTTTTCATCGTTTTGTTTAAAAGTTTTATTAGGTATATAATATTATTTATTTTCATACTTTACGGCAGACGGCTTTTAATAATCACTTTTTTATTGCGACATTGTTATTTTTTACGGTGATGATGAATGTGTTTGAGATAATATTATCAATGCCTCAACTACAAATCAGTGGTCTAAACAATTATGTGTATTTTCTCTCGTTTATTTGCTAAATCAGCTTTATTTTGACTGATGTCATATTGAGAAATAAACCGTTTAGAAAGAATTTGGTTTAATGCTAAACAGTATCATTGAATGTTACAAATAAGTTCTTGTACAAATCATTTAAAGTAAAGGTTAAAAGTTCGTATGCCATTTTTACACATCTAATTACTTTATAGCCTAAGTTTAAAGTTCACAACAATATAATATTTTTTAATTCTATAATCTATACTTGAGTGAGTTTAAGTTGATGTATCGAATGATGCGGGACATGTTGATTCATGTGCAGACACAATATTTCAAATTAAAGTTATACACTTTCCAAAACTATTCAAGTTATTTTTTTATGTTGTGATAAAACTATCGTATATTTTTATTGCTTCCGATCAAAGAGGTTAGATCAAAGACAGCGTCTGGAAATCGAGTTAAGGCAAAGAATAGAACAATTAGAAAAACGACAAACTCAGGATGATGCAGTGCTAAACGTAGTCAATAGGTATTGGAATCAATTAAACGAGGATATTCGTGTATTGCTACAAAGGTTTGATGCAGAAACAGCAGATGAGTCTGAAAATAAAAGTATACAACCATCTTTTTATGCCTGAGCTTAAAAATACATGGATTTCAGGACTTTGAATGTATCTGCTTGTTTTGTAGATGAGAGTGAAGCCACGACTTCTTTTCTCATGCAATTGTCTTCCTGGGATAAAGAGGAGTTGGATGATAAACTTGCAAACCGCGTTCAAGTGTCGAAACGAGCGGTTTCGAAAGTTGTACAGGCATTTGATAGGCTTTCCCAAAGAAATGAAAAAATCACGCTTGCTCTCAAAGGAGAGTTCAATGGTAATGACAATTTTTTAATGATAAGTTAAAATTTATATTATTGTTCATTATGATATCATTTACAGAAGAAGCACCCAACATCGATGAAGTGGTAAAAAAAGCAAATGTTGAAATTCAAATGGAAAACAGAAATTTACAAGCGCTAAACCTCCAACTGCATGAAAAGTATCATACAATTTCACTAAAAATGTCGGAATTGCAAGATACAATTACTGCCAAAGATACATTAGCTGCTGAACTTCGAAATCAAGTAGATGATTTACAGTACGAGTTGAATAAAGTGCGATCAAGAAACGATAAATTAGAACATCATCTTGGTGATGCGATTGAAAAGTTGAAAGCATTCCAACAAATTCATGGTTCAGATGAAAAAGGATGTGTCAAGTCTAACGCTATAGTTGCAACAAGTGTGTCGCAAACTAAGGTGAGGCAATATTTTTTTTTTTTTTTTTTTTTTTTTTTATAAAGACTCAGAGCAACTTACCATTTTTTTGTAATGAAAAACATTTTTCGAAAATTCAGTTGGAAGATTTACAAAGGGAACTGGAAGAAACTCGTGAGTTGTCTAATAACAGATTGCAAGAGTTGGATAAATTACATCAACAACATCGTGATACATTAAAAGAAGTAGAAAAGTTGAAGATGGATGTACGTGTTTTTACCTCTTTAATGATTAATTTTTCATGTTGAAAATTCATTAAAAAGTATTATGTTTGTAGATCCGTCAATTGCCTGAATCCGTTATTGTCGAGACAACAGAATACAAGTGTTTACAATCCCAATTCTCAGTTTTGTATAATGAGTCAATGCAATTGAAAACTCAATTAGATGAAGCTCGTCAACAACTTCAATCAAGCAAAAACGCTCATCTACGTCACATAGAGATGATGGAAGTAAGTAAACATTTTTATATCTTTCGATATACATCAAATGCTTTTTTTATACATTTATCCTCAAGAATTTAAAGAACTTTTGCATGGGTTATATTAGATTTTAATTATTTTAATTTATTGTTAAAGAACTTGTCGTTTTGATAGTATCAGTTCCTAAAAATTGTGTAAAATAACGATAAAAATATTACATTACGTACTGAAAGCAAACAAGTCATGTCATCAGTACGCTATTGCACATACTTTAACAGTTAGAAGGTCCATATTTTCACTCCCTATCTGCCGGATCTGCTGATCCTGAGAAATCTATCTCTGTCCTCTCAACATATTTACCACCTGTTCGTTGCTTGGACTTCATTTGTTATCAATAATTACTTTTTTAGAGTGAAGAACTGATGGCACAAAAGAAACTAAGAGGCGAATGTATACAATTAGAGGATGTTCTAGCGCAGTTGAGGAAAGAGTATGAAATGCTTCGCATCGAGTTTGAACAGAATTTAGCTGCTAATGAACAAACTGGCCCAATTAATAGAGAAATGCGACATCTCATTACTTCATTACAAAATCACAACCAACAGTTGAAAGGTGAAGTTCATCGATATAAACGTAAATACAAGGAGATTTCTGCTGAAGTTCCAAGAGTACGTGCAGTTTGTCATTTTTAAGTAAAATTGTGTTTTTCTTAGTAATTGACTTTGAAAAATCGTGTTGTAGTTGAAAAAAGAGGTGGAAGAATTGACAACTAAACTTGGTCAACAAATGGCTCAAGAAAATAAAGAAGGTAACAATTCTGATGGAAGTGGAAAAGAAGAAGATGCTTCAAATTCTCTGCCAGGGCAGGTAAGTTGAATTTTATTAGCAATGGCAAATTTTTCAATATTTGTATTCAATAATTTCTTTATCCATGTACAATTATTGAATATAATATTCATGATCATTTTATGGCTTTAAAGATTAAAGAAGAAGGGGGTATTAAAAAGGAAAGAGCAGATGAAGATGGAGACAATGAAGGAGGTGAAGGAGAAAAAGGAAATTCCGAACACGCTCTTTCATCCCCGACTATCAAAAAAGAGAAAGATATTAAACGTGAAAAGGATATTAAAAAAGAATCAGTCAAAACGGAACACCGCGATCCAATGCATAGATCTAAAGATGCAAAAGCTGCTGAGTCGGAAATAGTCAGGGATCTCAAGGCGCAACTCAAGTAAGTTTATTCAGTAAAACTTTACTTTGCTTTCTCTCAAGTACTTATAGCTTTTTTTTTTCCTTCCACGATAATAGAAAGGCTGTGAACGAAATGAAAGAATTGAAACTACTGTTAGACATGTACAAAAGCATCGGCAAAGAGCAACGTGATAAAGCTCAGCTCATGGCTGCTGAGCGCAAAACAAGAGCAGAGTTAGAGGACATGAGGCAACAGCTCAAAAAAATACAAGTACAGATTGTAATATAACGAGATTTCATTATATTTTTAGAACTTTCCCAATCTAATTGGCGCTTTTTTTGAATTTTTTTTTTTTTTGTTTTTTTTTTTTGTTCTATGTTCATGTTGTAGGAAAGCAAACGCGAAGAACGAAAGAAACTTGCCGACGAGGATGCTCAACTGAAGATCAAAAAGCTTGAGGAGCAAGCATACGCACTACAAAGACAGGTGGCTACTCAAAAACAGGTAGTTCTTTATACTCCGGCTTGGATAGATGCATAATTATTTGGTGCATGCATTGCCTCTAATCTGCAATCTAACAAATTTCTTGTACAAAGTAACTTTTAATAAAAATTAACAAGCTGCAATAGTAGAAGTTTTTCAATATAATGAAAAAATTACATTGAAAACGTACGTCAACTACTAATATCTACTAATTTTTATTTGGAGTCTACTTGTATATTGGAAATCATGGTTTGATGCAGCTGTAGTAGCTAATGGGTGTACTAAGTCGACATCGTTCTTGCTCGTGCTGGAACGGTGATGTAACGTTAAATAGAACGACGCATGGTTGCAGGAGGAAGAGGCTCTCCTCAACGAGATGGAGGTCACGGGTCAAGCTTTCGAGGATATGCAAGAGCAAAATTCTAGGCTAATACAACAATTACGTGAGAAGGACGACGCCAACTTTAAATTGATGACAGAGAGGATCAAGAGCAACCAGTTGCACAAGCTGGCAAGAGAGGAAAAGGATGTCTTGAAGGAACAAGTGTCGACGCTGACCACCCAAGTTGAGGCGGCCAACTTGGTTGTGAGAAAGTTGGAGGAAAAAGAGCGTTTGCTGCAGAATTCACTGGCTACCGTGGAGAAAGAATTGGCATTGCGTCAGCAGGCTATGGAGATGCACAAAAGAAAAGCCATTGAAAGCGCGCAATCTGCCGCAGATCTCAAACTTCATCTTGGTAATTAATTTTCTGCATTTGCTGGTGTCAATTATCAGTTTTTTCAAAACATTTAATACCACAGAAGCTTGAAAAATATAAATTATTGATGTATTATTTACTTATTAAACGTGATCATTGGCCCATAGAAACGGTTTAACAAATCTATTATTATTGTAGAAAAGTACCATTCACAAATGAAAGAGGCTCAGCAAGTTGTAGCCGAGAAAACAAGTTCCTTGGAAGCTGAAGCATACAAAACAAAAAGATTACAAGTATGTTTACTTGATTTTTCATATGATCATGAGTTTTCATAATCGGATTTTAAATTTTAATGTTCAATTGTAGGAAGAAATAGCGCAACTCAGACGGAAAGTTGAGAGAATGAAAAAGATAGAATTGGCTGAGACTGTAGATGAAGTAATGGCTGAAGAACTTCGTGAATACAAAGAAACGTTAACATGCCCCTCTTGTAAAGTAAAGCGAAAAGACGCAGTACTTACAAAGTGCTTCCACGTCTTCTGTTGGGATTGTCTACGTACTCGTTACGAAACTCGGCAGCGAAAGTGTCCCAAGTGCAACTGCGCCTTTGGAGCTAACGATTATCATCGGCTCTACCTGTCGACCTGAAGAAGGAGGCATTAAGTTGCTTAAGAAAACAATGTACGCGAAGTACTTCGCCTTCAAAAACGATCGCAATTTTAACAATGGAATTATCGAAGAGCACTTCATTTTTTTTTGTACTTTTGTTACTGAAAAATGTAAACGTTTTCCTCGAAATAGTGTGAATTGTGTAATATGTATATAAAAGCATAAAAGACTAAAACTTAGGTGTATTATGAAGAAGTGCGATGCATGTATAGATATAACATATTACAGTGAATTTAAATCGACGAATTTCAGTGTTACTGAAAGTTTAATGATGTAAGCATCGTACATTTTTTTTTGCTGAATTAACTTTAAAAAATTAACACACGCGAAGGTATAGTTATTTCTGATTGTAAAAATGTAGTTAGTTTTTCCAATTTAACTTTTTTTTTTATTTTTATCACACGTAAGCACTTACGTATCAAACAATTTTGTGCTTACAGTTTTAATCTGTCCAATGAAATATATTTTTTTTTAAACAACCTTTTATTTTTTAAGTAAATTATTTTTTGCTACGTGAATATTAGAAATATTTACAAATACAATCGTGTAAATAAATACATGCAAATATATAAACTCGTGACTGTTGTCTATGAATAGTCTTGAACTGTAAGGTAGTCTTTTTAACTACTCAAGATATGTACATCAACTTTGCATTATAGAAAATGTGCAAAAAAGTACGATGCTGTGATCAAGCATAATAATACTTATCAAATTTACATTGCTTTGGATACATTCAAATCTCTTTTTACGTAAATTGGATAAATCTTTAACTATTTATAATCCTTTCAAAAGGGAGGTTTCGAAATAACTATAAATTCATTTTTACTAGTTCCATGTATTAATATAAATTACATGTTTTCAATATTAAAAAAAATTTTTTCAAGTACAACTCTATACTTAATTTTACTCCATTTGTACATCAGTTGACTTATCAGCTGGTTCCTCACCAGACCCAATTGTCATCAACGCAGGCTCGTAAGTCCACTTTGGAAAAACTCTTTTGTAAAGATTCATTAATACAGTATCTTGCGATTTTAATGGTCCATCAAATATACACTTCATGTGTCCGTGCGTTCCTGTGTACAAAATAATCCAATCATATGCAAGAATTGGAATGCTTTTTTTAGAAGATAATTTTTATCGTAATAGTACTTACCAAGTGGTTCTTTGATATGTCCTTTACGGCCACATTTCGTACGTAGCTTTACGGGCTTGAACCACCTAATATCTTCTCTGTTGAAGAACATAAATCTTACAACAGCTGATTTTTTGTGAACTTTGAACGGATGACCACTTAAAATGACTCTTTTTATAATAAGTCGATTTGGATTTACAGACATGAGACTTCCAGTGGCAATCATTTCCTAATTACATACAAGAGTCTTTATGCAATAGAGTTACAAAATTACATTACGGCAGTAATGTCTCTCTGGCAAATTGTGAAAAAAAGGAATCGTTGACATACCAAGCTTCCATCGGTTTTTTGCATATAACATAAGACTGGGCATGGCGGGAACGTAATTGGAGCGAATGTAGTTGCGACAACAGTTGAATTCGGTTGGAAAAACCTTTCGTACTGAAAATATTTTGCAAAATTACAAACTTGGAAAAATGCAGTGTACTACTAGACATCAAACACCATACTTTATGTTTATTTCCATTGGTGTGTTGACTAAAAATGGGGCAAGCTGAAAACCTTCTAAATCCACATTGGAAAATAAGACGCTCTTTGGATTTGATTGGCAAATTGCTGTTTAGGGTACGATTTAAAACAAAGTTTAGCACAGACATTCTGTGTTCATATTCTAACAATCCAAACACAACTAAAGGCAGGTTGTCCTTCAAGACTTGTGAATCGTACAGTTCCTTACTCACACCCTTTACTGAAATTGTCAAGTATGATCCAGGCTAGAGAAAATTGCATAAACATAAATAATGGACTACGTAATGAAAAACAAAACAAAAATTAAATAACCTACTTGTGCATGTTCTTCTTCGTTTAATAAGTCTTCCCGTTGTTGAGCGACACGCCTACGAGTACGATCAAAGTTTTGGAATTGGAATATTCTCCCATAATCATAGGGCAGATTTTCAAGTCTATCCCAAAATGTTGTACGGAATGAGTCTAGACCTCGATATTTCTGAAAGCGCACTTTGGCTAAAATATCTTGGGGTGTATCGACTTCGTCCGGAAATTCGGAATCTTGTTTTGCTTCTGTAGGAAAAAATTTAATCATCAAAGGGATAAAAAATGCAGAATCAAATGAGATTCTATAATTTACCTTTGAGCTTTAAAAGAGCTTCTTTTTCTTTGTACAGATCCATTTTTTCATCATAACGCTGTTCATTTGTATCTGAAAGGGACATCGTTTCGTATTCTTCTTTATCGTCTTCAGTCAGTGTGTTTTCATCATCACTGTTAATTTCACTCTGTGCTTGATCAACAACCATTTTTTCCTCATCGTCGCTACTTTCATCGTAATCTACTATAAAATTACAATTAAACGGTTTTTTGTGCTATTCCATGACAACAGTATTTGATGTACAATCAAAATTAAAATGTCTTACGTCCTTCCTCATCAGGAATCCAAGCTGCCTGATAAGCAGATGTTCCTTTGGGTACGAGTTTAACTACTTGTTTTTGTTGAGCTTTCGCTTCTGCTAATTCTTCTTCAGTGGGCCAAGTTTGTTCTGCATCCATTGGATCTGGTATATTTTCCGATTCCAGTGATTCCTAAAGACAAAATAATGTAAATTCATTTTGCAAAGAATTGAAAAAAAAAAAACAAATATTTTTACAAAGCTTACTTGTTTCGATGAATCTTCGATGTTAAAGATTTTTTCAACTGTATTTGTTTTATCCATTTCAACATCTGTATTAGACTTTTTTGATTTTCGGACTAAAGGAAATGGATCTTCAAGTTTCATGATTTTAGACATTTGATAATCACCAAGACCTGGAATATGAACCAATCCATACACTGACAAAGGCATACCATGTAAATACCCTGATACCTCAAGTGTTCCAAAATTTTTCTTATCCTGAAGAATTATATGAGTTTTATGACAACACTGTATGTTTTACTAATCCTAAAATTTTAGACAAAGAAAAAAAAACACGTTACATCGTTATCATCCAAATGAAACTTAATGTCTTCTGCCAAAAGATATGATCTTTTGTTCCTGTAGATAACAGTTTTTTGTTTCTGAGATGCTGCAGTTCTTAGAATATTGATTGCATTAGTGTCATTGAGATCCATGACTTTTTCCTCTGGTAACCATTTAAATAAGATTTTTTGAATATGATTTTTGTGAGCTTGCCTTTTCTAGTAAATTCAATAAATATTTTGTGTTATGTAACTAAATTCAAAAGAAGTTTGAAAAAAGCATTGGCAAGTTAAATGTCTTACTGTTTCAGGAAGATTTTTCAAATTTGTTACAGCTAGAATTGGAGTTGGTAATCCTTGAGCAGCTACCGATTGAACTACCTGTTCACCCCATGAATCAATAACTTCCTCCCTTCGACTTTTATCACTTTCATATGTAGCAGACGTGACAAATAATACAGTATTAACAACTTTAATTAAATCAAGTGTTGCAAAAAGATCTCCTTGAGGAGGTACAACAATTGAGAAACGTTGTTTCAAGCTTGGCACACTGTTAATTAATAATTAAAAAATGTGAATGATGAAGATTGGTGATGTTTCCATACACAAATACTAAGAAACTAAATATTACCTGATATGCGTCGTATTGTCACCATTTTTAATAGTTGCCTCTTCATCTGCTTTTGACAACATATCAACAATCTTATGCGCATCCAAATCTTCTTGCAGCGCAACCACAGCAATCAGCATGGGTGAACTATTTTTTCCACTCAACTTTCGTTTTTCATCTAAAAATTTGTTTCGTTGGTTGGTTCGATTTTGCATCATTTGATGTCTTTTTGCAACTTTACTCAGCTCTTTCTTCACATGTTTGGTTTTTTGCTTGACAGTAACTTTGCCTATAAAGATTTTGATGATTTGTTAGTACTTATGGTTATCAAGTAATAAGTAGTTTATTTATGATCACTCAGACATTGCAAGTACTTTAGCTTCACATTATTTCAAACACACTTTTCTACATAATCATAAGTTCAAGTTATTTTTGTTCTTAATTAAATATCAGAAGAAAGTGTTTAAAAAATGTCAACAAGTTTAAAAACTAACCTTAAAATAAGAAATCAAATTAAAATTATTTCTAGACCCAATAATATAATAAATTAAAAATCATTGAAACAAACAAATATTCATCATTACTTAATTCTGATCTTATTTGGTTTGAGATACAAAAATTGATTAACAGAAATAACATACCCCCAGCACTGTTGGCGATGGCACCTTTGCTACGGTGTCTTCCAGTTTTGTGGGGCTTGGGGGGTTTTTTAAACACACCAGGCCTGTGAGCTTCTTGTGTAGATTTTGCCATTTTTCTTATATTTATTTAAATTAACAATCTCTCAAAAATATAATATTTACTAGAAGGTTATTCGACGATTGTATAAAGCACAGCATTGGTGCGTGAAAAACACACATGGTAAAAGTCGAAGGAATTTGAAATTTAAATCGATTCGGTAAAAACGCGATTTCGATACTTGATAGAAGTCGATTCCTAAGGTCGACTCTCAAAGCATCGATTTCTTTTAAATAGAGCGTCGAGTTATCGATACATTTACTTGCACGATTGATCGATCCCTTTCCTGAAGCTGTATATATACATATATATACATAAAAGCATATAAATATATAAGTTTTTTGGTGTATCACGAATAAGCAGTATAAGCACTTGACCATCTTATACCAAACCGGGGCGAATAAAAACACAACTTATACGTTCCGAAAATGACCAGCTCTGCGTACTTATATTAAGTACATACTTTAATTTGTTTGTATTGTCCGTGATAGTAGGGTATATGTGTATCCTTTTTTTCGTACAGAACAACGATATTGGGTACATCGTCATTTTAACACATTTGTAAAGAAAATTTGAAAACTGACGATGCGCTGGTAAGCACGAAGGGGTTCCAACTATAGTGTTTGAATTTGTTTTCAATTGAACATAAAAAGCTCCGCAACCCGAGAGCAGTAGAAAACTTGCAGTATAGTAGTACGTATGAACAAACCAATAAAAACCAATAGAGAAAAAAAAAGTAAAAAAGATTGATGTAATAATTGTATTTATGCGTTTCGTAAAAAATAAATATTAAATTACACAGTAAATTGACAACTTAACGACATTGCGATCCAAACATCCAATAACGCATTATTCTCTTTAATAGAGTCTACATGGCCTTTCTTCTATGCTTTCCCTCGATGTCTATGTAAATAATACGGGGCCGCCAAGATTATAATATGGGTATGCATAGAAAACTTGCGCACGCGATAGGGTGGCCTGGGTGGCGCTTGCATTGGCGCATTCTATTCTTTTCATATACATGTACATACCTACCCTTGCAATATATGCGCTTAGACGTCTCGTCGTTCCTCCCTCCATTGCAGGGTATTGCATGTTGTATTCCATGCACGTATGGTCCGCTATGGTGGTACAACGATGTAAATGTATCCTACAGTCCTACTACTTCACCGTTCACCAATTTCTCCATACGCAAACGCATACGCACATCAGACTATCAGAGTACCTATACATATATATACAAGCGTCGCGAATACACAAACATAAAATGTACTTGTACATGGGATGCAGTACACACGAAAAAAGGGGGAGCCGGCCGGCCGGCCCTTCTGTGTGCGACAGATATAGAGAGAAAGGAAGGGCGGAAGGGAGGGTTTTATAGAGGTAGAGGGAGGCAAGTAGAGAGGGTTCCTATAGCCCTAAAGTGGCTGCACTACGCAGCACCAAACGAGACGTCCCTGCTTTGCTTCTTTACCAAACGCATTTTATTCGCGCGCGCGCGCGCGTACATAGAGGCTAGGGCGTGCAGTTGTCGATCGGTCGGTCGCTTCGGGGGCTCCCTTAACGCTGCCGGCAGCGCAAGGAACGACGCGAGTGCATCGAAATTTTTACCACGTTCTTTCGGTCGTAAACAAGTGCATAATTATTATTATTATTATTATCATTATTATTAATATTATTATTATTATTATTATTATTATTATTATTGTTTTGTGATTGATGATGGTACGCTTTTGTTGATTATCGTCCTGTTTCTGTGATTTTCGTTTTGTTTGTTTGTTTTCGTTTCGTTTTTTGTTTTTTTTGTTTTTTTTTTTTTTGTTTTTTGGTTGCACACATTAGATTTTAAAACCTTTCGGGTGATACAGAAATTTGTTTTTTCGGCCCTATCGTGTGGCACTCGCGTCGTCCTCGCTTATGCTGTCGTCCTCGTCAACGTCGTCGTCATGCATACTTATAGTCTCTCGTAGTTTGATAGGTTATACATGCATATTTATTATGCAAATGCAAGGCTTACAAAGACGTGTATACCTAACACTTGTAACATAATTCGTGTACCGCGAGGGAACTTTTGTTATGATTTGCATCGACTCGAGGAGCCTCGAGGAACTTCAGAATCGAAAAAAAGGTAAGTTGATTTTTTTTTCTTCGTAGTACTCAATGTGGTAGATAAGTATTATATATGTACCTATTATTATTGTAGCTATATCCAACCTATAGCAATTATTGTTAATTTTTTTGGCGTCATTGACGTTATTATAAATTTGCACGTGTGATACACACTTGCACCTGTCAAGTGTGTACATTATACAATAGATTTACTTGTTCATTATACTTATTTGGTCAACATTGCAAGCAAATGTACATTACATGGATATGCGTTAGTAACTTATTAGTAAATTTTACGAAAATCATATTTACTTATGTATGAAAAAAACATTTTTAATTTCATTTTCTCTCACATTTTTTTAATAACGTATAGGGTACATTCAAAATCAATCTTGACTATTCCTTTAAAAAATTATCCGATTACGAATTTTGTGCAAGATCAGTTTACCCGCATTATCTCTTGATAAGTAACAATTTCCGTACGAAAAGTCGTTTCCCAATAAATACTTTGAAAATCCCGTCTACACTGTTACATTTAGAAATAATGCGTATTTTATTTAATTACTTAAATTTTACTGTTATATTCTACATATGGGTGATCTGCATATAAAATAAATGTATTTTTCAATTGAAAAACGTTACGGAAAACTTTTTTATGTTTTTGTTGATGACATGAAAAATTTTCTTCCCATTGTTGCAAAAAAAGACTTGCAAGTAAAATGTTTGAGAGGCATTCGAGTTTTTAGCGTTTCTGGGTAGGTACCTAAAAGTAAACCTGTTTGAATAAAAAATTAATAAACAACCGTTGACTCGAGTAGATACAAAGAACCGGAGAGGGAGATAGAGGGTTTTGCCGGACCACCTCAAAAGCATCAGAGTAATCAGGTGCTCGACGAAAAATCATCCGAAAAGCCCCCATCTCGAGCTTTCGCATAAGTCCCGCAAGCACTGCCACGAGTAAAATTACGAGCAGTCACCCTAAACAGATAACTTTTTTTTTGTAGAGAGCAAACGAAGCAGCATCGCGAAATGCAATCCACGAGCCCATCATCTCGCCGCGAGCCTCCGTATACCTACTTACTCGATCCAGTTGTATTGTGGAGAGAGAATCCAGTTTTTCCTTTCGGCTTCCCATTGAGCGGGGGCACAAGTCTGGAACTTGGAAGCCCCCCCCCCCCCTGTTTTGGCTCTTATTCTTTTTCTCCTCCAAATGTATATAAATATAAATTGACACACAGTTTCGTTGGAACCTCGGTTATATGTACATTCCTACATGCATACAGGCACGTGTGTACCTACTCGGTCTAGTGCATCAGCTTATTATATTATGTACCCATACGCCGAAATTTTTGAAAAATCATCAAATTATTCGGAGGGCGTTGTTGGATGTTATCTCTTTCGAGAATCGCATGTCCGTCGTGCCTCGCGGGATACTCTTGTTGTTTCCACTTTGAAAAAGTCACTTTTCTTGCTGTTTGAAAAAAAAAGTGAAAAAATCTCTTGAGATGCGCTTCGAGTATTATTATTGTTGTAAGTACCTGCATGTATAAGATCTGAAAATTGTGGGTTCTCGAATTCTCATTCGATTTTCAATGAAATCATCGCTTTTCATAGAAAAAACACTTTATCGCCAATAGGGTACCTTACAAAGACCAGGTTTTTTTTTTTTTTTTTTTTTCACGCAACCGTAAAATCTTCTATAAACAATAATATAGTATAGCTTTTTTTAGCCTAATACACAGGTAGAGCCAGCAAAACTCGTGATTTGCACATTAGATATATTATGTAGGTATATGAGGGTAAATTGTCATTGATCAGGCTGAGGGAGATATATTTTGAAAACTCGAGCGCCCAAAGTAAAGAAGTCGCGGTTACTCTTGCGTATATAATTGGATAATCCAACGCACACATAGTGTTGAGTAATATGTATATATATTATATAGCTTCATATAAAAAAAAGTCTTTAAAAAAAAAAAAAAAAGATTTTTCGAAGATTCAAACGCACAACGAAATTACCCCTCCAAAGGGGGAGAAAATCGAATGTTACGTATATATACGTATGTATGTATCGTTGTGCGTGCGTGCGCTTTCGAAAGTGAGTGGGCCACGCATGTATATACAGCCGAAAGCAAATGAGTAAGAGAAAGAGAGCGAAGGAGAAATAGCCCCTTGGCAACAATCAATAGATGCGCGTTGCACATCTTACCCCTCTTTCCTCTCTCTCTCTCTCTCTCTCTCTCTCTCTCTATCTGTGTGTGTGTGTGTACCCACACCAACTGCGTACCATGCGTATATATGTTATATTACTCGTGGCTCGTGGGGTTGCGATGGTATGACACTATAATGCAGTGTGCGTGCACACGCATACACTTGTATATATATGTACATATTCGCCTAACTGCCACCCTCTCGCCTCTTTTGGCTCACCTCCTCCTCCTCCTCCCCCACGTCCTTGTCTCTCTTTTTCTCTCATCCTCGATGTACACACCTATATACGTGCCCCTTTTTTTCGGCCTATCTCTTCTTCTTCTCTCGCGTGTGTACTTATACATATAGGTACACACATCATACCCATATATACATATACATATACGATAGGTAGGTACATACACACACACACACACACACACACACACACACATACAATATATAGGTAGACGACAAGTATTCATCATCTCCTGCTCGAATCTCTCCCTATATATATGTATACCTTAATACATCTCCTCCGCGCGCAACAACCCCCACGCGCCAAGTGCACTTGCAAATTTCTCCGTGTTCTCTTTACTTCCACCTTCCACCTCGGCCCGTATAGCATCTACAACGCGCTTCCGTGCGTGTATGTATACGGACACATGTATTGCGTATACACCCACACACTCTAAATATATACCTATATATTATTTTCTAGCTCGCGCCTACATCCCCGTAGGTATATTACGCTCTTTTTCGGCTATACACAACCCCAGTGCGCCTGTATGTATACATAAACGTACCAAAGT